CCAAAACAAGCAAGACTTACAGTTTTGGAAACCCAAACAGTTCTATTCTTGATATTTTTGTTTAATAAAGGTTGCTATGATTTTGTAGCCGTACCTTTGGACTTAGCCTGAATAAGGCAGCCCCAGGTTACAAACAAGATCCATTCTTGTGTTTTTAAGAATTTGTGGGTCAGTCAGAACATGTGCATATAGTTCTTATTTAGTCTTACTTTAGTGCAAGGAGGAGCCCTGGTAGCACAGTGGTTGCAAATTTTGCTGCTAACAGAAAGATCAACAGTTCAAAACTGCCAGCTGTCCCGCTACTCCTTTATAGTTACAGTCCAATCCTGTGACGAGCTGCAGGCTAGGAGACTTACAGGGGCAGTTCTACCCCGCCCTATATTGTCAAGTGAATCAGCATTGACTTGATGGTAGTGGAATTGATGGCCCAGGGGGATGATTGGTAGTGTTTTCTAACATAAAATGACAATGAGGTCTCTAAGGTGAACCAGAGACACATATAAACTATATGTGCAGGAATGGATTTTGGGCTTGCACTTAATTCCAGCCCCAATCCATAAGAACAATTTGTTCTTATGACATGGCCCTTCTTGACGCTCCCCTTCCTGAAGACTTCACTAAAGTGCTTTTGCAAAGTGTGATTAAATTATAGGATCCCCAGCTATAAGAGCCAGTAGTGTGTGGGATCGTAAAACAAGCAGCCATCTAAGTGAGGCATTAACTAAGTCCACATGGAAGAAATACACCAACCAGCCTGTGTGATCCAAGGATTGTAAATAATACAATTCACATTTAAAGGAGGGCATGGCATCAAAGCTCTAATTGTGAACACTTTGTTTGCAAAAGGCTATGGTTGACAATGGAAGCCCAAAATCAGGGTTCGCATGCAGATTTAGCCTCCAGTGAATCTCCTCTGATCATAGTTAAGGGATTTGAATAGCTTTCTTACCCAACAGGGAACAGTGTAAAATCAATTATGGCAGGCATGGTTAGATCAAAATTTAATATCCTTTGATCTCCCTTATGATCCATTTAAATTTATTCTAGTTTTTAATATTTTCTGCTTTTCAGGTGAGGTTTTTTATCTATTTCACTTTTTAAAAAAATTTTTGAAATCCAGGAGGGGTAAATCTATAGAGACAGTAATTGGATTAATGATCCCTTGAGAGTATGGCAGGGAAGATTAGTGGAAAATCGGGAGCTAATAGCAATGAATACAAGAATGAAGAAAATGTTCTAAAATGGATTATGGTGATGATTGTACATCTCTTCTTGATATGTTTATACTATTGTGTGATGTATGAATTATATGCCAATAAAACTGTTGAGGGGAAAAAGAGTTATAGTCGGGAAATCCACAGGGACAATTGTACCCTGTCCTATAGGGTCACTATGAGTCAGAATTGACTTAATGGCAGTGAGTTTGGAGTTTGTGTTTTAGTGCAAGAAAAGGCTTGAAGCTGCATGTTCTGCAATCAGAGGTGATGGTGATGAAGAATTTGTTGTGTATTGGGGTTGATTCAGTCATTTAACAGTGATGGCAAATTTGCATAAACATAAAAAGCATTTTGAGCAGAAACAGCATCTCCCTGCTCAAAGATGGTGGCCTTGGGAGTCCTGCCAATAACCACCCCTACAGTTTTATGTATCTTCAAGTTGACATGAAATTAAGTAACTACCACACCCCCAGACCGACCCAACATGAATATGCATCAGAGGTGGAAATCAACTGACAAGGTTTTAACCATTTACCAGATTTACATTTTGATCTCCTATAGTTATTTCACCAATGCATTCTGGTAACTGGATTCTTCCCATCCCTCTAGTATGGATAGAAGGATATCACTGGAGGCTTAGTTCCTGTGAGAATCTCACAAATGTATCTTGGGCTTCCGCTGTCATCTATAACTTTCTGCAAACAAGAATCTCACAATGTAGGCTTTGATACTGTTCCTTCCTTTGGCTTTGGATTATATGATTTGCAGTCACTGGTGTTGGTGTGCATCTTCCATCTGGACTTAGTTGACATCTCACTTAGACAGCTGCTTGTTTGGAAACAAGCCTTTAAAGCCCCAGATGCTGTTTTATCTAATCTTAGCCATGTTATTGGTGACACCAGCTATCTTTTGATTATTACACACATAGTGTTTCCCCATCTTTTCATGTCTATTTTAGTTGCGTTTCTTTTTTTCTTAGTTGTGTTTCTTGTAAACAGCATAGGTATGTATGCCTAGTAAAACTTGATGTGGCTTTCTTTTATTGGATTATATAGTTCATTGTAAAATTTAATATAATTAGTGTATTTTGACTAAGATCCATCATTGTCTTTTTTATTTACCCGCTCTTTTTCTGTTTCTTTTTTTCTACTTTTTTTTGACCAATTGGGAATTTTTCATTTTTTGATTACTTCTCTGTTAGCTCAGAAGTTGTTCTTTCCCCCCCCCACCCCCATCCCAGTTGTTAAACCTAGAAAGTATACCACGCACCTTTTACCTCTTAAATTAAAATATTACTTGGTACTATAACCCTCTTCTCAGACAGTATAAGGTCTCCAGTCAAAACTTGTATGCCATTGAAGTTAAATATCCTGATTATCTGAGTATGAATTTTCACAAATAAAATTGTATTTATTTTGCAAAGCAGTAATATCATGAAGCATTAGGTCTTTTTTTCTCACTTAAACATGATTGAACGTGTTCCAAGATTAATGACAATTTCTTGTTTACATAATTTCCATTTATAAGATAGAGATTAATGTTAGAACTTTCTGGATTGGGTAGGCTCCATTTTTTTTTTCTTTAGTGGATACCCAAAAAGTTCAAACACACATTCACATAACCCTAATACACAATTTACTCTACTTTTGATTTCTCT